AGCTACATTGTAGCCACAGCCACCCTGGGGCGCACTGACAGAGGCGAGGCTGCCGGACACTGGCGCCCTGGCCCTCTGACCACCACCAGTAGGGCAACGGCTGAAGTGTCTTGCCCAAGGACACAACGACCGAGACTGTCCAACCCCGGGCTCGAACCCGCAACCTTCCGATTCCAAGACGAACTCCCAACTCAGCGGAGCTAGAGTCACAACGTTACCTTCGGGTTCTTTTTCAACTAACTTGGTAGATGCATGCTGTTTCTGAAGATGTTTCATCAGATTAGAATTGCTGTTGAAAGAGTTTTAGAACCTCCACAGAGAGTACAGTTCACCACAATACTCTTTTCTTTTACCAACAGAAAGGAAAAATAATGTAGCAAAATGTGCTCCCCCTTCATGTAATAGCACAGCAAGGTCACGAGGTAGGTGATCAAGCAACAGAATGCATCACAATTGCCCTTTATAATGGCAGTAAGGCGCTCCATGGGCAACACCTTGAATGTTTCTCTGTACCATTGTGTAAGAGTGGGGAACTGTCTCTGAATCCATTGAAACAGTACACATCGCCTCGCTAAATGTAAAAGTTTACATAACAAAAGCATTTGTACAGACGACACAGAAGCCCTTCTATAGATGGACCCAGAGTGAACAGGACAGGGTTCAGTGGGATCGTCTGGTGAAAGACTGAGCGAAGCTCCATAGCAAAATCTTTCCGAAATCTAGTAATTAAAGGACATTGCCATATGCAATGGTAGTAAGTCCCTACATCCGTATTGCACTTTACACAAAGAGGAGAAATCTGAGGATGAATTTTATTTAGAAACTCTGGCGTACGCTGCAGTCTATGTACAATTCTGTAACGGCTTTCCTGGAGTCTGTTACAGGAAAACATTTTCTTGGCAGATCTAAAAGTTTTGGGCCATGCTTCTGCACTAAGCTGAACTTCAAGGTCGGTTTCCCACTGAACCCTGGCCTTATCAGTGGTTACAAAATTCAGATACAATAATTTCCTATAACAAAGAGAGATAAATTTCTTTTTTGTGATTATTTCCTCATTAAATTTAAAGAGAAAGCTTTCAGTAGGATTTAAAGCAGGTTGATTGGCTCAAAATTTAAGGGAATTTATAAAATGTCTTACTTTCAGGAACCCACAGAAGTGTTTCTGTGGTAAATTATATTTAATTTGAATTTGATTAAAGGCCATAAAACTACCCCTTTCAAACAGATTGCAAATAAATCTTATATTTTTAGAATGCCAATCATCAAATATACTAATGCCAATACCTGGAGCTATGGTGGAGGTAATGATCCTGAGAGGCAACATTTGTATAGGTTGTAATATTATGGGTAAAACATTCATTTTGATTAAACTTATTCTACCCATCCAAGATAAATAATAAATAAATACAATTTTATTTATATAGCACCTTTCTAGACAGCATCACAAAGTGCTGCACATAAGATAACAAATAATAAAAGGGTAAAACAGAAAATATAAAACAGGCAAAAATTAACCAAAAACAGTTTTAAAAAGGTGAGTTTTGAGTTGTTGTTTTTTTTTAAAACAATTACCGAGTCCACAGTTCTTAATGTATGAGGGAGAGAGTTCCAGAGTCTCTGGGCCACAGTGGCAAAAGCTCTGTCACCCTTAGTTCTCATCTTAGTCTGTTTTATAGCAAGTAAGCCCTGATCAGATGACCTCGGGGACCTGCTGGGGACATAGGGCTGTAGCAGATCGGAGATGTAGGGTGGTGCCAGTCCATGCAAGGCTCTGAATGTCAAAACCAGGATCTTAAAATGTACTCTAAATTCAACAGGAAGCCAGTGTAGCTGAGATAGCAATAGTGTCACATGTGAATACTTGGAGGATTTTGTCAACAGCCTAGCTGCAGCAATTTGCACAACCTGCAGACGATCCAGAGAACCTTTGCTTAGACACATAAACAACGAGTTACA